GACTTGAACAAGATATTGTATAAAAAAAATCCCTATTTGGTCACCAGAATGGGTCATATTTATTTTATTCACCACAAGTGTGGATATGATGTATAGATGTGTCTGTGGATTTCTATTTGTGGTAAATGATAGTCATTCGAGTCGAGAGAAGTAAAAGAAGATGAAAATATATCATATTCTCTCTGAATATCTATCATATTAATCTGTTGTGGCATTTTCTCAGTAAAATGCTATTTTCTTGCGAACGACATTTAGTTAACAGCTCAACTTTTTACCATAGATGTACTATATACTCAGTCAAAAATGGTAAAAACATCATTGATTAATCTCTTATAGTTAGCGGGAAGCCAAAAAGTCAAAATAAGAAATCTGTCGTGACATTTAGTGCGACAATAGCTACCAATCTGTTTTATTTTTACTTTTTTGTTTCATCGTGAATATTTTATTAATTTATTTTTTAATCAAAAGTAAGTAGTCTTTAATAGTTACAATTTAATCTGTTGTGACAAAAAATGGTCAAAGTGTATGTTTTCATATTTTTGCAAGATTTGATCAGGAAATCAAAATCGAAATTCAGATTACTTTATATAGTTAAAAAGAGGAGAACCTGAGCTGCCAACTTCCGTAAAAAATCTATTTGTCCAGTCAGAATTGTAGGATATAAAAAGGAATTTCTGTCGATAGATCCTGTCAAACAGCTTTCGTAATGATCTTTTATGCTTGAAAACTCCTTACCACGCGAATAAAAACCTCGATAATTTTATGGTGAGTAGGACGGACTGAATGGAGCATTTCAACAAAGCAATTGTCCAAATCGATTGAATAGAAGTTGAGTTATAAGATTTTTCGTGTTCGCTGAGCAACCGTATAATGTCAGCGCAATTCACTCATATCAGTTCATATTTTCATGAAAACTTTCAGCATTGTTTCTGTTTCCATACATTCGAAAGCGCTTTCAATAGACGTCCTAGTGTGGGTTAGAACCCACTGGGTTCAAGAATTCATGGATCTAGTACCAGATTCAGCTGATTAAAAGTTTTAAGACGTAGACCCAACATAGACCAGATCGATCAGAATTTTAAACAACCAAAGATAATGAATGTAACAACTACATTGGCAACATTCAGAGCATTCAAACATGCTCTAATATAGGCTGAAATCTTGTTGTTTTATAATTGCTGGCTTTGTTGTTGCAAGAAAAGGATTAATTCATCGACTATTTCTGAATCCTTTTTTTGGACAAAAAGTAGCAAGAAAAAACGTTATTGACATATGAGATTATCAATCATTTTCTTAATATCTTTTGGATGAATATTCGTATTTGGTGTATTGTTTAAATGATATGTCAAACAATTTTTCCGAAAAATAAGCACCATCCAGGGTCATCATCCTACCATCTGAATTGGCATCTTAAAAGACCTGAAACAACTATCGTTTTTAACACTATTTTAACCGTTTTTCGAGCTGACGAAAACAGCGCCGTTTTCTGCCGTTTTAACATTGCTTACCCATGTCGCGAATACCGCTTCAATTTTTGCGGTAAACCGCGGTAATTTTAGAAAAGCGGTAAATTTGTATGAAATGGGAGCCGGCAACCGGAGTGGTAATACCGCGGTTAACCGCTAGTTTTTCCAGTACCCGTTTTTTACTGTCATCATATAGGAAAAAAAAGATGCCTAAAATAGCCCGATCAATGACTTTTAGCAACAATTTTTTATAAACGCTCAGCGAACCGGTTAGTAGAAAGATACCGGCGGTAAGCCGCGGTGTTCCCCGAAACCCCCGGTTTACCGCGGTAAATTTGTGTTGATGGGAGCTGGTAACCGGAGCGGTAAAACCGCGGTAAACCGTCAATTTTAATCCGGTTTTTCCAACATGGGTAAGACCGTGTCACGCGCCGTTGTCTTGGACCTGAACAGTGACGCATAAACCAATGTATACGACATAATAACTAAGTCCAAGGCAAACACGTATTTTGTTTGTTTTACTTCCCGAGAATAATTCGCTGTAGGCATCTAAAATAGAAAAAGGAAAGGTTTATTTTAGAAAGAAATTTTTCAATGTATTCTAAATGTTGACGGTTAAAATTTATCAAATTTATGATAGAACATTCTCAACTGTCGATTCACTATTGAGTCTGAGCCCAGTGCATTTTGTAAGATCCTAATGAATTATGTTTATCATAAAAGTCAGGCACAACTGTAGCTTGATGGATTCTGTTTTGCCAATCAAAAATTCTGATACATCCATTCAATAGCCTGTATCCGTAACGAATTTATTTAGTGCAAGTAAACCTTATAAAACAGCTCACAAGTTTAATGTACTGGAATATAAAATAATGTGTCGTTGATGATGATGACGAAGGATACATTTTTCAATCTAAAACAAAATGATTAGTTTAGATTTTTTATTAGTAGGAATACTCTTACGCATGTCTATCAGAGATGCCAGCCTGGCCTGCTTGCCTGTCAGGCCAGGCTGATTTTTCACATATTAGTCTGGACTGCATCAGACCAGGCAAATAACGATCAGGTCACGCCAGGCTAACCTGTCTAGCCTGCTCAAAATTGACTTGGAATGATTTTATCTGCTGAATTCTGTATTACCCATGTAGCCGATAATGTAAAATAATGGACATTATTTTCTATTATTTTCATAAATAATCTGCATAATGTAATTAAAATGCAACCTATTTCATGCACTGTCTTCCAAATAATGGGAAATTTTTCCAATAATCCATTGTTTTTTAATGAATTATTTCAAATTTTACCATTATTTCCCTGCAATGCATTATAAATTATAATGCATCAAAATTTAAAAATATGATGGAATCTAATTAATTAAAAAATTTCATGCTTTCAATGCATTAGATTCCATTATATTTTTAAATTTTGATGCATTATAAATTATAATTTATAATTTATAATGCATTGCAGGGAAATAATGGTAAAATTTGAAATAATTCATTAAAAAACAATGGATTATTGGAAAATTTTCCCATTATTTTACATTATCGGCTACATTGGTAGATATCGCCATGATCCATTTGCAAATTCAGAAAAAGAAGAAAGCGAATAATGATTGGATTGAATCTACTCCGACGATTATTACTAAAAGTACAATAAAAAAGCTAAATCAAAGAAACGAAGACAAAGTAGTCAATGCATTTTAACTTTTTATTACTTTATAACAGTTCATATTTATAAATTGTTTAATAGTGATTGTTTCTTATGTGAAATGCTAGCGGTGTTAATTCAGAGATTTTTTGTTTTCTAATATATAAAACAACTTTTTTATATTATTACTATTAAGAAAAGAAAGAAATAATCACATCAATCCTCAAGATCATGACCAAAATTGAACCTAATGAATATGTTATAAAAATACACATAACTTTTTTGGTTTCATGTATGCGTGCAGGACAGGCCAGGCACAAACACACCAAACCAGGCAACAGATTGGCCTAGCCTGGTCGTAACAGGCCAGGTCAGGCCGGGAAAACGTGGCCCGTTGGCATCTCTGATGTCTATATCTAGACAAAAATATTTGTTCTATTAGATTATTTTCGTCTTGTATTTCATTTGCTTCAGAGAATTTTTTCGTCGAGAAATCCGAAAAAATTCACACAACAAATTTCTTCACTCTGAAAAGATTTCTGAGTTTTAAATGATCGGTACAATTCTTATTAAAAATGGTGTGGGTTTTGGTATTGTTAGCTGTGGTCGCTTCTACACCAGACACCCTTCCGGTTCGGTGAAGTAATTGAGCTACTCACTTCCATTTATTTGGAAGCCAATCCGAGCAATATAACTTTTTAAGCGGCGGAGACATTTAGAAAACACGGAAATATTAAAAAAAAACAGCTCATTAAGAGAACCACGGCAATGATATTTGAGCATTAGTATTTCTTCGACAACTTTGCTGCTGTTGGGTAGCTTTAATTTTTTGGTGTTCATATTTTTGTTTTATGAAACATCGTAACGGGCTTCTGAAATAAGTAATTTTCAGTGGTTATTCTTATTCTTTCTAGATATTCTTGGAAGTTTACTGAATATCAGTGTTATTATCTATTGTGTAAACGATAACGGTGTTGTAGCGTTGTGTCTGTCGCTAGGGAAAATAGCAGGTATACTGTGGACGCTTATTGGTATTTTATGCTCTTTTCTTGCTTGTTGGACGATTCAAAGTAACACGATTGGCTGTCTGACTAGCCTCAACGTGATTTTCAACTACTCGCCTTTTTTAATACTGAAGTAACTTTTGTAGTGTAGATCAGACCTTACGATAGCCATGCATTGACTACGAGACAACTTACCTATTTGAGTCATTAGTAATAATTTGTCAAGCTTTTCCTTATCGATCCTTTTTTATGACTATGGGCCACTCTACTCTTTTTTATTTTGCAATTCTTTTTTTTCAAACCGATGAATCTATTGTCTTGTTTTATCAGATAATATGAGCGTCGAGGCATACAGTCAATGCCGCATTAAATTAACTTCCCTACAAGGCCAAATTACAAGTTTTGAGCGATGCCTTATTGAGTTACGTCAATACGATATCGGCGATTATGTTCTACGAGCTATTGATGTAAATAGCCATAGTTCAGTAAGAATAAATTACAGACTAAATACAGTAAATGATTGTTGGATCTGTAGGAAATCTTTAATTGTTGTCTGGTTGATCGTAAACAATATATTTTTGGTGCGTCAATCAATCAGCCCGATATGATCAATGTAATGAGTAGTACTTGTCATTTGTGGTTAAATGAAAAATCGCGCGATCATTTTCATGAAGTACTGCGAACATGTCTTGAGGATTTCCTAATTGTAAAAGATAAAGATAACAAAATTTCATCTCAACAACATAATCAAATGAATTCGACATCGCTGTTAAACGAACTTTCTACACAAGAAGATGCACCCTATTATCGAAATGAGGAGCCATTTGATTGCATTACTTGCATGGAGACAATTATGAAAGGCGAAGGAATTCTATTCAGTAATTGCCTACATCCAATTTGTAAACAATGTCTTTTGAGAATGATTGAAGCAAGTACGGAACCAACAATTAAATGCCCACATGAAAACTGTACTGCACTTATTACAGAACGAGAACTGCGAGGTGTAAGTATTGAAAATATTAGTTGCAAATTTCTCAAGGTTTTCCAATATTTCAGGTAGTTAATGATTTAAAAGGCGATCCAAAGGTGGTCGATCGTCTTAATGATGTTGCTGTGCGTTTTGCTGAAAGTCGTAATAAAACATTTCATTGTATTACACCTGATTGTGCTCATTGGTGGTTCATAGAGCCAGAAGACACTAACAATATAATATACTGTAAGGTAATTAATTATCTTCTGTAATTTTAAGAAGAAACGTTGTAGATGCTGTAGATAAAAATGAAGTTTCTACTTTTTTCTTTACAATATATAAAGAATTTTATTGTATAGTTACAGTCGAAGATAAATTATTTTCTCTATTTATTTCGACAGCTCCTAATTTCATCTATCGTAGGGCTGTAAACACTGGATATGTACAACTTGTTCGGCAATCCATGAAGGTCAACCTTGTGAGTGTAGACTATATGGAATAAGATAATTCATTGATTTTCATATATAGGTCGTGATTATCAAGAGATGAGATTGCGCGAAGCGAATGAAAGTATTTTTCGTAAAGATACAGATTATTTGGAGGTAAACATTAATAAAGAATTCATTGCATTTTTGTGATACCTTTTCTGTTTTATATAGACCATGATCAAGAATAAAGAAGCCATGTATTGGTAAGAAATCTTTAGTATTGAATGGATCTAGAAAATTCACTGCCATATGACATTTTATTCTGTTGATTAGTCCCGGTTGTCGTGCTATCATTCAAAAAATGTCTGGCTGTGATTGGATTCAATGTAGTCAATGTAAAATAGAAATTTGTGTAAGTTAAATATTTATTGTTTCTAATATCGAATTATTTTCCCTTCATCATGTTGATTAGTGGCCAACACAAGGTCCTCGCTGGGGTCCGAAAGGACATGGTGATACATCGGGAGGATGTCGATGTCGTGCTGACAATGGCAAACTTTGTGTGCCTAATTGTCAAAACTGTCATTAACTGATTGCATTTAACCTTAGACGGTTATTCATGTATATTTTTTTATTGTTTTTTTATTCAAGGCCTTTTCTATTGATACTCTATTTGAGAATCATCGATTTATTTTAATAATAAATAGCAGTAAAGTTCTGAAATACTTATAACGAAATCAAATGATATTGCAATATGATGAGTTATAATGATTTCACCGTATAAATATGTTAATTCACATATGAAGATTAATCTAAATGCTTTAAATATTGATATTGTTAATAAATAATACTATCGTAAAAGTTGTTAATTTATCCATCTCCTCTACAAAAAAAATTGCGTTGGAGTAAAAATTATTAGGAATCAAAATAGAATGTCTATTTTCTATTTCAATCCAATCAAATGAATCTATCTTTATCATATTTACTCAAAAGTATTCATATTTTATTACGCGCAATACAAGATGGTGTCTATCGATCGAAATTGCTTTTATGTCGTTTATTTACTTCGTTTTCATCATTACTGATAAATCTATTCATTTACATGTTGAATCAATTTTTCAAGAATAAATTGTACAATTGTCATTTTTATCGAGAAATTTTCGTAACAGAAAAATCTATATTTTATTTTCTCTATCAATATATGACTGTAAATCTTTCATCAATTGAATTGGCTTTGATATTGAGACATATCTACATTGATATTTTTCAGAAAAAGTCAACAAAATATTCTAGGAGTTCCCAGGTCGTGGCAGTATGACGCGAAACGACCAGAAAACACGGGAAATCGCTGGAAGGTGGAAGCAGTATTCCGACCGGAAATTGGCGGACTTTTTCCGGCATATTCCGGCCAAATTCCAGTGCTTTCCGGCAGGAACCGACGGTAAATCATCGGGAAAAACTCCGAAAATTTTTCGACTGGAACACTACTTCCAAGCTCCAGCGACTCCCCTTGTTTTCCTGCAGAATACGGTGGTTTTTCCGCATCTTTTCGGCCAGTTTCTACAGTATCTGGTGACCGGAACAATCGATCTGGGTTCTTAATAACTAGCATATCATTCAGATTCACTATTTAAAACTAGGATAGCTGTTATCTAGAACATTTCATGAAGATTTTAATGGCATGATCATCAATAAATCGACTCACTTCAAAAATAGATGTTTCACAGTTTTGTTCAAACTGGCAAGCACACATACGTACACTCATATTTGACTGTTTTTAGTAAAAGAATAGCTTTATATAAACTACGTTCATCGTATCGAACGATGGGATGACACTGTCTCATTCCATACAGATCGCTGATGTAAATAAGAATAATCGCATTGAATAATTTTGAATAAGAATGGATAGAGTCAGACTAACGGATCATTTGGCGCCATCTTTTAATTGTTGCCGAACTTATTCCACTATTTAAATCACGAAATATTTTTGTTAGAGTATCACTGTTTTTATATCTTGATAATGGAAAGTCTTAACTTTTCACGATTAATATAACCAATAAGTATCAATTCACGAAATAGTTGCTTGATCTGCCGTTGTTATTTTAGTATTTGATTGTTTTCTTTTTAAACTTTATAGTTTTCATCGATCATGAAAATTCCTTAAAAACTTTCCGTATTAGAGAAACTATGAGAATTTAAATCTATCAATTTACAATTGATTACTTGATATCGTAGTCCCTATATTTCAATCGAAACTAATTTTCTTTGGTTTATTTACTCTAAATGTAATCTTTGATAGATCATGATGTGAGTCATAGAAAAACTCTTTCACTCGACGTGATCACTCTCTTAAATTAAGCTTTCATTTTATTATCTGGAATCGTAAGTTCAATTGAAAAAATTAAGATGTTAACGGATTATTATACTGTAACTACATATTTATTGCTAATTTATGCCAGTAAGAATTTTATCTAATTTTAGATAATTTGTCCTTAACGTTTTTGCTCAACAATTGACTTGTTATACATTAATAGAGGTATTATATAATAATACTTTCTTTAACTAACCTTATGAAAACATTAAAAAATGCCTATGATTACATAATTCAGGGTATTTACAAATTATGTCATTGATAGAATAAAATTTGCATCTGACAGATTGATCACATTGATATCGAATCTGATTTGTTTTTAGTGTTTGAATGTTGTAAAAAAGAATAATTCTTAGAAATATCAACAGGAAAATAATTAACTATACATATTTTAATAAACAAAATCCTTTTTTGCCATGTGTATCAAATCAAGATTGTTAAAATACAATCTATGCCAAAATACATCTGATTCATTTAACTTGTTAATTAATAGCTTTATTTACTAATTCTTTTGTTTAATTTCTTATTGTTTATTGTCAACAAAATACTTAAAGAAAATAAATAATAAAATATTTCATTTGTCATATTCAATAATAACTTACATAAGTGATGCGTGTATTGCTTTTGCAAGATAGCACCATGTAAAGAAATTTCCTACGCCAATTAGTTGTGTTGTTTAAAAAACAAATTTGATTTAGATTGTTTGTTTTAATCGGTTGGTTCTTTGTATTCTCGTTCAAGTTTTCCTCTTGAGTTGGTGAAATATAAATAATGTTTTAGATAGAATATTATCTTTTGTGAGTCATTTTGATTTTGTAATATTTTCTTTTCTTTCAATACTCGAGCAAATATTTTTTTCTTCGAGTACTTTTTTTTCTTCGATCTCTATGGTAAAGCCTTAAAAAATAAATAATATCATGATTCATTCCTCTACTAATTGATTTTTTTTCGAATTCTCAGCTGTATTGACTATTGAATTTTGACTTTAACCCAGAAAATCTATTTATGTTCTATTTGGGCGGTAGTTGGGATATCTGTATTTCGTTTGCATGGTTGATAGCTGATCAATAGTAAACAAGAAAAACAAAGAGAATCTATTTATTATTTTGGTGCAAAAGTTTCTCGCTCTCCGTCGTTTAATTTGTACTAGTTTTATATCAATTTCTTTGTCTGTGATTATGTAAATAATCAATTTAATGTATTTCTACATTGCATTCATAGAAACTCCATTCAATAGTTCAGGACTCAATATATTGTTTTTTCTCATAAAGGGTTTCTCGCGTTTATTTTTGATAAAATCTTAAATTGTACCCAACTGTATTCAGTAATCACAATTATAAACACCGATATTTCAAGTTTAACCTTTTTCTATATTTTTTCTTTATAATTTTTCTCAACGTTTTCCAACTATCGTTATATTATGTGATTTGATGAATAGTAATTAGAGAAGAGTTATCTTATTTCAGTATTTATTTCGGAAATTTTTGTTCCACAGGAACACTTAATAAATTGTAAACAAAAACAAGAAATACTTAACAAAATTATTTTGACCCCAGTTGAAAAAGAAATGGAAACTATTTATTTTAGTCTTAATAACTGTAAAATGTAAATAAATACGTTAAAATAAACTCAAGCTTGTTATAACATCCAATAATTAAGAATCATAGAGATGAAAATAAAAAAGCGAAATAAAGAGATTCAAGAACATGATAAAGTAGAGAACTCGTGCTAATACAGAGTCTCAGAAATCGAGTTATTTTGATGAAATAAATGGTTTCAAACAATTTTTAATATTTATTGATGATGTTTAGGCTTATTTAATGCTTCATCAGATGGATAAGAATCATGTTTACTAATATTAGATCGATTTATAAAATTTCAATTTATTATGATTTCATTGGATTTGGATATACGGGGCAAAAATCTAGATTCTTAGAAATGAAGATTTAGTATAGTAATAAAAATCGTGTTCATAAAGTCACTTTTTACTTATAAATGTACGCATACATATTTGAAATACATTGATTCACTTGATATTTTTTAGTATTTAATTCTATGTTACTCAATGAACTTGTGATAGACTCGCGAAAATTTGTCTGTAATCAATTTTAATGTTACCACATACACTCCATCAACGAATACACTGGTGTTAGTTATGGTCTCTTTTTCACAAACGTATCTGTATTATGTTTCATATTGAAAATAATGTGTACTAATTCGGAAATAGAATATAAAATGAAAAACAACATAGTTCATTTAATTTTCAGAGAAAAATTCCTTCATGATCGATTGGTTGAAAAACAATTCTTTATTGTAAAAAAGTCAAATTTTAGTTATTATACAGTAAAAACAGAAAAGTAACAAAATCCGCCTTCAGATTTTTTATTTACAATCAACCAACATAAAATCGTCGCAATGTATAAGCATTATTTACATATTCTTTATTAAATAATAAAATGAAATATATGAAGCCTTTGTTATTCGATTCAATCAAAATTCTCATCAACACAATACCTTATTCAATAATATTGTATGTGCTCTAATAAATAACGCACAGTACAATCGACTGGTATTACATTGCAACGAAATAGAAGATCATACATAAAAACATGTAAGCGAATATATTATTTTTTTTTCATATTAACTAAAGATGGTTACTATATATTTAGGGCTGTAGCACCTAGTCGTGTTCAAACTGTACAACCACAATCGTATTTTCGTCCAATAAATAATAGTTTTAATCTATTACCAAGTGAAAAAGTCTACCGTGAATGGGAATATCATGATAATATCTGCTGTTGTAATAATGCGTATTATACAGCTCTAACAGATATACGACTGCTTACTCGCTATCAAGAAAATCTTTGTTCTGAAAGTTGTTCAGAACCTTCACATACAGATTCAGCTATTTTCTTACGTGATATCGATCAAATGCGTGAATGTCGTGGTGAACAACCAACGTTTTTCTTTCTTCTTTGGGTAACATTAGTATGTGCATGGCCTTGTTATCTTACACGTCGAATTTTTTGTCCAAAGCCAAAATGTCTGGAAATTTTCGGTTCATTTGGTTCTGAAATTGTACGAGTTAAAAGAGAAGATATGCTAGTGGCTCAAGTAGATGTATCCACCGCGGTGATCAATAGCAAATTAGTTGGTCGATCTTAATCAATTCGTCCAGTACTTTGACTGCTTTTTTCGTGTATAGTCTATAAAAAAAACGACTTTAACAATTTTTACCGCAGGCGTAACATTATCTTGATTAACAGAAAATATATTGAAAAGAGTAAACAAAACATAACTATCAAAATAATTAATTCATATAAAGAAATTTTTAATTTAAGAGCCGTTGCATGTAAGCCAGGACTGACCGTGTTCAATCGATGTCGTTAGATATGTCTCAATTTGAGATGAATGGTAGAGGCAACAGTTCTAGGAATAGTGGCGCAAGCCGTTTTGAAAAAGATTTCTCCTTTCCTGAGATATTATTATTTTTTTGAACACACTATCATCAAAAAAGTACGCTTTTGATCATTATTTTGGGCTCTTATATTTCAGTGAAGAAGCACTTGTCTGATTTGGAATTTTTACTGGAAATACATTTCAAGTAGATGTATTTATAGTAGAAAAACGCCTTAATCAAAATGAACCATTGATGGGCTAATCGATAGTAGAAGGTACATGAAAAAAATCATCGTTTTTCGAGATTTCTGCATATGCATATCTCATTATCCCATCATACTAGCTATTTGAAATTTGGCGTATAGAGAGAACTTATATGGTACCTACTCCCCAGAAAATATCAACACTCTAGCTAATTCCTGTGGTTCAGAAGACTTTACAGAAAACCATGATTTTAGCGAAAACCTAGACTTTAGTGAATCTTATCTTCCAAAATACCGGATGGTTAGACGCCGAACTTATAAGACTACAAAGTGCACATGGGGTGCTACAAAAATTCTATAAAAATTCACGTGTGATCTCTGAGAATGGCCTCAGAAATCTTATCGAAAGTTACTGAAAATTGAAACGTTTTTTCATCGGAGCTGGGCCTGACTACCGTTGATATTTATAGAACTATGATATTCTGTACAGTAAATTCTATCAAGAGCCAATCATCCTATGACAGCTACTTAAGTGCCATAAAAAAATTCAACAAAAATCAGAAAAGAACTTTTCTTCACAAATATCCGTACCCCCTCACCCACAAGTTTTCATCAGAACTGTTTGTCGACAAAATAATCCTACTGCCCTAGGGATATTTTTTATGATTTTGCTCAATTTTTCTGTGGGACTTAAGGAGCGCCCATAGAATGATTGATTCTTGATAGAATTTAATGTACAGGATATCATAGTTCTATAAATAGCAACGGTGATCGAGCCCAGCTCCTATGTAAAAAGGCATCATTTTTCAGTGACTTGCGATAAGATTTCTGAGGCCATATAAGAGATCCCACGTAGACTTTTATAGAATTATGGAGTATCCTATTTGTACTTTGAAATTACATCATTTTGCTCGAATCAAACATATAGCTTTTGAGATCGGCCAGTCAAAAAATTGATGTTTAGGCCAAAAATGGCGGTTTTTTTGCAACTTTTTCGGAGCCATAGGAACTAGCCAAAGAGTTGATATTTTTTTATAGTGAGTACTATACTCTTCCTTTCCTTAGACCAAATTTCAAGTATCTGGCATAATTGTTTTACAAAATAAATGAACACGAAATTCCGAAAATGATGCTTTTTTCATGTACTTCGTACTAGCGATTAGTCCATCAATGGTTCAGCATTTTCAAGGCGTTTTTCTATGATGAATTCATCTAGTTGGTATGCATTTCTAGTAGAAGTTTAAAGTCGAACGGGTGTTTCTTCGCTATAATATGAGGATAACGAAATTTCGATGAAAGTGTACACTCTTGACGGTAATGGCTTCAGGAAATTCTTAATATCTCAGGAACGAAACAATATTTTTCAAAACGGCTCGCATCACTACTCCTAGAAATCGTGTCTCTATCACATATGTTGAAGTGAGACGCACCCGACAACATCGATTGAGCAACCTCAGTCGTAGCTTACGTGCAATTGCTCTTATTCCCTGTAAGGAATGTAGGGTTATACGAAAAGTGAGCTAGCGCCGTTCGTTTGTATGTTCGTTCGTCCAATAGAAAAGCAGATGCATACATTTAACTAATCTCAAATAATTTCTCTAGGGATAGGTATGACCAAAGGTTATCGGGGTGGGGGAACTCTAACCCGATGTCAGATTTTCAAAATTTATGATCCTCAATTGTTTTGGTAAAGACATATTTTTTCGAGAAAGTAGTTGTCCTTATAAGGTTTGATCGAAGATTGTCGGGCTCGGGGAAGTCGAATCCGAGGTCAGGTGTTTGACGTTTCGCTTTTTACTTTTTTTAGGGGGAGAGAGAATTTTTTAGAAAAAAAAAGATTTTGTATAAGGTTTAACCGAAAGTTTTTGAGGCGGAATTATTCGATTTCAAGTGTGGTATTTCAAAAACATATTGCCATCGTTTTAATAAACAAAGAGGGTTCCACAGAGGTCTATTGCACATAATGAACACATGAGCTTTTGAAAAAGTAAAACTAAGTGACCAGCAACTGACCAGTGATTGCTATTTCGAAAGCATTTAGGAGTACCACAACGACGTTTTTAGTGGTTATTATCCTAAACAAATAAATAAAGTTGATTCACATACGATAACGACTGTCGTTTGATCGAATATTAAATGCTTAATAATATTTCATAGTTCAAGCAGGTTTATAATGTATTAGAAGCTGTTTAGATCGTCCCATTTTCGTGATAGGAATTTTTTGTCGGGAATTTTTTCAAGGGTACCATTCGATTATGTAGATAGTGGTAGATGTAGCGTATGTTTATATTGGATTTTATTACGAATAGGCTGTAGGCATCTTGTGGTGGAATTGATTCTCAGTTTGGCAACGACTATTCATGAGTAGCGCTCCGGATGGGCGTCGACGAACGACTAACCGCTCACCTGCTCATGTCGTTGTTTCATTGCTTACACAAAAATTTATTATTTAAGCAAACGTGGTTTTGGCGAATGTTGCACTAAGGTCTTTTTCATCAAACAGTGGAACATAACTACATGTCTGTATTTTGTGTATAGACACTAAGACGTTGAAGGCTTTTTTCGGAGTCTTCAGTTTATTCTGAATATGTCAACTTTTATTGTAGCACGAAGAATTTATTCAAACTTAACACCTAGAATTCTAGATTAGCGCATCGACGAACGTTCGCACACTGTGTAAGTACTCAGGAATCTTGTCTTATTCCTCTCAAAATTGTGAGGAATTTATCGTATATGTAGATGAAACTGGATTAAATTAGTGACACAACTGCTGTTTTCAGTTTTTTTGAAAGTTCTCTTAGTTTTCATCGAATAATTATAGAATGAGGCGATGCTTTCTATCAATCATGCCGTATTTGAAAGGATCACGTTCACCGCATATATGAGAAAAAACTGGTAGGGGCGGCTAGTCGTGAGTGGCGCCGACGAACGACTCGCCGCTCAATCAAAAATCTGTTGTGATTATAAGACTACAGGCCTTGTAGACTTATAGAATAGTTACACGTTACCTTGATCAGAAAAGTTGAAACAATTTTTGAAAATGGCAAAAGAAAGATCATGAAATAATTGTTCAACTCGTGTGAAACATTTGAAATTTATACTTGTCGTGGTTATCTTAATAAGCTTAATTTTTTTCTGATTGGGAGTGGATTTGATTCAAAAGATGTAAATGTTAGATTTATCTATCTGTGAACGTGCAGCCGGGAATGAATATATGCATTCTGGACGGAAGACGCGCCGAAGAAAAATGAGGACAAATCTGACCGATATCGAGTTAGAAAAAGTCAGTTTGATTTAATCTCTGATCTACTCGTGCAGATTCATGTCAAATATCTAGTTCATAGACCAATTTGAGTTGTAACTTTACTAAAATGGGGTATTTCGATCATAGCTCTCCTGAATGGGTCTTTTTCTTCACTCCGTTATCAACCTGATCGAAAGTTTTCGGAGCATAGCTTGAGCTGTAGCAGATCGGATGCATTTAACTTCGCTATTGCCATATAGTATTAGTGAGTACTACTTAAATGGCGTTTTGTTGGCGATACTTTCAAGCAAATTTTCTATTTATGCTCGGTTATCAATCGTGTTTTCCATGAAAACCATTTCGAAGCTATAAAATATGAAGTCTCTCAGCTCACTGGCGGATCTACCATTGCAGATAATCGGCGAGGGCCACCCCCTTCACGAAATTGTTTTTTCGATTTTTCCCAGCAGAAATGAAACAGAAAAAAGTCGTATCCAAGCAGACAAACTTTTTCAAAAACGCGTTTTTTACGCAGAATTCTCACTTTCCGAACGTGAAAACGAATAAAAACTCCAATTCAGAGCGTTTTACCGCACAATTATTCGATAAATTAAAAACCAATTCGTTTAAACGCTCAAAATTGGAGTTTCTATGCGTTTTCGCGTTCGGAAAGTGAGAATTCTTCGTAAAAAACGCGTTTCTTGCGTTTCATTAAAGAGCGTTAATGACTCACAATCGCGGTTCCTGATGGAATGTTTAAACCCGTTTTTGAAAAAGCTTGTCTGCTTGGGTATTGCCTCAAATAGGCTTCAAAAACCACTTTTTGACCAGAAGTGCCACCCCTTATTGATTTGCTGGATCCGCCATTGTCTCAGCTAGATAGCTTTGGATAGCTACGTTCTACATGGCTAAATCCTTTCAGTAGAGGACTGACGATGCTAATGTCACGTTATTTTGTTTTATACATTAATTGAAACACGGTTTTAGTTAAGCCAATTAACAGACAGACATGATACAGTCAGAGCCCGCGGAAGGGGGGGGGGGGGGCCCCCCCCCAATAATTGAAAATTTTCAATTTTTCTTAGC